AATATATATCTATCTTTCTGTTATATTAAATATTTTAAGATTTGTCTTACATATTCTTTATTTTCATTTTTAGTGATAAAAAATCAAAATGTTAGGTAAGTTAAAAATTTTTATAACGAAAGTTTCTTTTTCTTTTTTCCAGTATATTTACATATTTAATCTAGTACTTGAAACTTAGGACTTTAAACTTGGCTTTGTGTTCTTCCTTCGTTGAAGGAAAAGCGTTAGAAAAGGGTACCATAAAAAAAAAAAAACTTATTTTAGAAAATTGCACCCCAAAAAATCTAAATATTCCTTTTACCTGGAATTTTGAACAAAAATACCTGGAAGATAGCGGAATTTTCCTTCTGAACTTCTTCATTCACGCAGCGTAAAAAGGTTAAGCCCGGGGAAGAGAGCAAAGAGAAAAAAATAAATAAATCAATGTCCGCAAGAAATGGCTGTCGCGCGGCGACCCAAAAGTATGCCTCTGTTTTCATTGGTAGAAATCGGACGATCCGATAACCGCGGTGGAAAATATCACCGCACGTCCGCGCGATTCTTTTTACCCCGCGACAGTCTGCGTTTATCTATATAAAATGCCACTCGTTTTTCAACTGACAGCACGTTCGTCACTCTCGATGTGTGTGTGTGTGTGTGTGTCGATTCCCGGTCATCTCCTGTCATCTCCTGTCATTCGCCTCTCCCGCCCCTGTCGTGGAAGCGAACGCCGATGTTGTGCGTCACGTGCGTGTTGCGTATCGGCTGATTACACTCGTAATTAGGGATCGGCCGGAGATCTAGCGCAAATGCAAATTCGCGGAGTCGAATTAAACCGATGGGATTTATCGCGTACTACTTGGAGGTTGAATGTCCCGAAATTAATCATAATGTTTGATTAATAATCTATATTTATATATGTATATCCTTTAATTTAGAAGTTTAATACAACTTTTATATTGAACTTCTTTTGTATTATTCTTTAGCAATACAGGACATGGGCTGTAAAAATGAAAATATAAAAAAAGGGAAAATAAAAATTGTGATATATAAAAAATTATATTTTTGCGAAAAATATAACTTGACATATTTTTGTATCTCTGCAAATAAAATGATAATATAATAGAAGTACTTTTTTTTTTTTTTTTTTAAAAAAAGGAGAACAATTTTTCGAAAGCATTAACGCTTGTTTTATTAAATGTTTCAATTATTTTAACAAAGCTATTTCTGTATAATGAGGAATAAATATCAGTTGAACATTGATCAATTATTTCTTGATTATTTCTGTTTATAAACAAAATAGGATTAATTTCCATTCAGTTTACACTTGACGTCGGGATAATACTAGGCCAATTTCCATTATTATGGAGGCAGGATCGTTCATAATGTTATTACGTTCGAAAAGCTACGTAATAATGATTAGAGCTTACGCAAACTTCAATAATTATAATCTCATCTGATATCTAGATTATATATTGTACTTTTTTCACTGATAACTGAGCCGCTAGTTAAGCGTTGTTGATTATAAACTTGAAAATGCAAAAGAATACCCAAGTATCGGAAATATTTTTATACAGGGTGTCCCATTTTAATCTATCACCCCTTTTATTTCCACAGGGTAAGGTCGAATTAAAAATATGTTCAGACAAAAGTTATAGGGTTCAAAGGGGGCCAATAGATGATCTTATTAGATTTTGGATCAGGGATCCGTGTTGGGCCCAGTAGGGCCCAAGTCAATTTTTTAAAATGGGAACCCTATTTTTTATTGCATATTCATGTAGCTTATCTCGAGAGCTTTTCAAAACACTATAATGAAGTATTTTTCGAGTTATTTTATATCTTAATCTTATTTTGATATAAAATATCTCGTAAAATATTTAGTTCTCAATAATTTTATCGTGATACTTTTATGTATAGAATAATGAAATGAATCAATTAGTATAAAAAAAATATTTTTTTTTTTTAAGAAAAAGTGCGTAATTATTTACAATGTATTTTTTTCAAGCAACTATTTGTTTTTTTACATAAAAAAAAAAACCTCTTTGAACCCAACCCCTTTGAACCTACAACTTTTGTCAGAAGATATTTTTAATTCGACCTTACCCTGCGGAAATAAAAGGGGTGATAGATTAAAATAGGACACCCTGTATACATTTTTTTATTACGGGATTGTTAATGGACTTCAGGCTGTATGTACGAAAAATACATAATACAGATTATAACTCTGCTATTGCGTCGCTGATTAAAAATCGCGATGCGAATTACGGCTGATCCGCAGATAACGTGGGAAAATAATTAACGATAATGAGCGAACCGTGATAATTGGGCATATCGTTGTTGCGAAATGAAAATGAACGCGATCCGAGTGAAATAAATGTTGATGGAACATCTAACCAGAATATTCAACTCTACTGATTCGCTAAAAATGCTCGCTAATTACTCGAATAAATACGATATGCATGCTGCGTCTCGGCATACTGCCTCATTTCGAAATTACATGGTACATTTTAACATACACACGAGATGTTTTATAATTATTCAGAGATAATATATTTCACTCCAAACTATTTCGTCAAAGGTACACGAGCGACTTATACAATTAATTATTATTTTTTTTTTTTTTTTTTTTTTTTTTTTATCATAATTCTCTCGAAACATATTTTAAATATATTATTATATACACCGGGTGTTACGTGACAAATACAAATTGCGACGCCTTTAGCAACTTTCTGACAGTTCGATAAATCCCTTTTGGATTTTAATTATGCCGTCGTTCATCATAATTGCCGAATGATTATCATCGCGTACAAAGCACACTTCAAATTGACGCGTTTGTTTTCGAAAATTAGATGCCATTTGGATATTATAATCCATTCGGTCGCATCACGGTTAGGTTTGAAATCGGAAACTCGTCGACGTTGCTACGGGAGGGGCGGGGGGGAAGGTATATTGGATAATAACTATACATAATCATACTGGCATTATATCGTTTAAAAAAATAAAAATAAAAATTTTTACATATATTAAGAAATCTCTAATAAATATTTATGTAAAACTTGATTTAAACCCACTTACTCGTTTAAAAGTTATTTACTAAAAATTGTAGAAAAATATTATCTCTCTCTCTCTCTCTCTCTCTTTCTTTTTGCAAATTACTCGTCTTTTTTTTTTGTTTCTTGCAGTTGATTTCAGGGAATATTCACGATCAAAAGTTTTTGTCATAAATTAGGAAAAATATTAATTACAACTATTTTCTTTTACGAAGACGTTAAAAATCATATTATTTTGTGATACTTTAATTCTTTTTATAATCCGGATTTATTTATTTGATTTTTTTAAACAGTATAAACATAAAAAATGGTTTTTTTTTTTAATTTTGACAATTTTTTGCTGCTATTGTATAATTAAAACACCCTTAATATGATTTCAATGTGATCTGGCAATCTTTCGTGCCAAGATTATTACATTATACTACAGTTTCATAAGAAAGGAATAAAAATGTATTTAAAAAACTCTTTATATTCGTGATTTCTATTCTCATTGCTCAAATTTTAAATATTACGTCGACCAATATTTATAATTATTTTTATAACAAATTGGCATTTAAGATTGTGAAAATAAATTAGCCGAGATAATTAATTTTCAAAATTTTCATTTGAAATATGACTTAGAATTTTGTCCAGGTTTCTCGCAAAAAAGCCGTACCGTGTCTACGTTTATATCTTTAGAAACACCCCGCCTTCGATCGCGTTATTTCGCGACCTGTGATTACGCGGCTGCGCAAATAAATGTTCGTTTGCGTTGAACCGTGACCCGAGAACTCTCTCGGAGGCTGTCAAAACTGGCGCGTTGCCTGGGAAATTGGGGAGGAAATTCGTATTCGCCGCGGTCTCGTAATCGTGATGCCGTTCTGCATAAACTCGGCTTCTGATCCTTTCCCTGCCGAATACTATTTTCGCGCGGGTAAACAAAGCGAGGACGACGGTGTTTTAGCTTCCGCCGGTTACACGCCAAGTCCATTTCGGCGAATTTACTTACGCGCGAGCAACGAAACAACGGAATCGATCGCTGATTTTCTCACAAGGGTTTGATAATAATAAAATATCTCGATATTTTTCGTTTGCGAGGAGCACCCATTGCCAAAAGCGAAACATCCTGGAAATTTTTAGAGATCTCTTATACTATAAAAGGAATAAAATAAAAGGAATTGATTGATGGACGAATCGCGCTTTTCATGATAGTAATAAAAACAATGGAAGCTTATGAATAATATATATATATATAATATATGCGTAAATAATATAACGAACGTAGTTGTGAATAAATTAAAGTGTATACAACAATATAAACAATGCATGAATTTCAAGCGGAATATTCAACTATTCCGATGAAAATTCAAAACCGCGTATACATCTTTGTAGGTACACTGTAGCCGTTGTTTTCGGATAAATGAAATATTAATTCGTTTACACACCGCTTCGACATTTTATTTCATTTTAATCAATATCTTTATACAATACAAGGCTCGCTGAAATTTTTTTTTACTAGGGATATACAACGATAATTTAATTTTTTTTTTTTTTTTAAATAATGATATGAAAAAGCCAATTGAGCTAATTTTAGCCAAGGAAAAAAAGTGACGAAATTCTCCTGATACTTAATCTTTTCTGAATCAAGTAATCGTGCCATATAATAAGGCATCTTGTGTGGAAGTAGCCTTGACTTTTTTTTTTGTTGATTTCTGTAACAGAAAATGAAAGCTGCTCGAACGTTATTAATCATTATTCGCCATTGATCGATACCGAACAACAGGCTCGCCGGTTGTAGGTACGACTGTTGGAAATTTTGATGTCGAGTGTTGCCCTTCCGCCGTAGCGAGTAGAATCCCTTTTTATCGACGCCGGTTATCCAACAAAACGGCTCGCTTTTGTTGAAAAGAACCTTGATCCGGCTTTGCCTTGCCCTTTCTAAATTATACGGCACGGCAGTAATTATGAATCACTGTTTCCTTTCTGTTGCAGGTAAGAGCGCCGACAAAAAATTGTATAAGGTGGATTGTCGCAACGTGACCTTGACGAGAAGGTAATATAAATCTTCTAATTATCAGCTAATAATACTACTTGATTGACTGATTTTTCTTTAAATAATATCATTAGCTTCATATATAAAAACCGTGTGTATTATATATACAATGTATTCATGAACGAGTTTGGGGGATATATAAGCTTTGCGAATTAAATTATAAAGAACGCACATATTCATTTAAATTCTTGAATGAAATCTTTCCAAACGTGCTTTCTTTTGTAATAATAAATTAATTATAAATATTCTATAAATATAACTATATTATATACTTATAAATTATAGATATATTTATAATTAAAATTGTAGATACTTACAATTAATTATAGATTAATTATAATTAAACATTAATTTATTATTACAAAAGACAGCAATCTTTGGAAAGACTCCATTGCAAAATTTAGATGAATATAATAAATGAATAAAATTAATTATTAATTTATTTATTTATGAAAGACAGCACGTTTGGAAAGATTCCATTGGAGAATTCAAATGAATTTAATTAATTATAAATATCTACAAATTATATTTAATGATTACAATTAATTATAAATATTTACAAATATCACCTTTTATTATGGAATACTGATAAGAGAGCTAGTAGTTTCTAATCGCGATAAAGTAGGACATGCGATATCGAGACACTGTTTTCGAATCATTTCGCGCGTATGCTTGTTCGCTGAATTTATTTCTTTCTTTTTTAACAATTTAATTATTTGTCGCGTTACCGACAGAGAACGGAGGGCGATCCCTCCTTTGCGATTCATACATCCGATGGCGCCACCAAATCCAGTCGGGCCAGATCGTCGTTTGTTAAGTATCGACCTTCATACAGTCCTTTTCATCTTCCCCGTTCGTGTTATCATACGCATGCGCTCGCGTGTCGCGAGATAACGCGCGGACCGATACAAATTTCTCGATCGCATGCGAAGGTCCGATTAACGATCGGGGAACAAAAGCCCACACCATAATTCGCAGGAAGAAACTGTTACATCGCGTGCACGCGATCTTACGCACAAGGTGACATCGTTACTTTGGTAAGGAACTTCTCGTAACGTTATTCGAAATAATTTTTTTTCGACACATAAAAGGTTTTTGAATTATTAATTCCTCCGCTGCGAGCGCAGATCCATTTATCCGGAATGGATAAAGAGCCTTTTAAAAGGACTCGATGATGCATTCATAAACAGAGTGTATCTCGTACATTTTGCAAAATTATAAATTATAAGAGCGATGTGTAATGTAGTTAAAAAGAAATATATTTCGTAGGATACGTATGTATCATTATCACGTGTAAAATGGAGGGAATAAGTTATCTTCACTCGCAAAAACCGCTGCAATTTACATGAATGACGGCGTTGCATGTGTACTAGTAGTAACTGCGAGTGAATGGAAGTAGAAACCGAATCGGAGATCGCAGCTAAAAACTCGCGCTCTAGAGAAAGTATAGCGATCGGACGGGAGTAACTACTTCCTGACAACCAGGAGAGCGAGCATGGCAAATCGGCGTCGAGAGCCATTCGATTTAAAATCCGAAACGTCAAAAAAACACGTGACTTTGTGATGACATTTAATTGTAACAAAATGCCGCGTGATTTTTCAATTCGACCCTTCTGCCGTTACGCATCGGCGGAATTAAACGTATTAAATTACTAATATCCTTCAGCTTATACTAGAGGAAGGGGTGAGGGGGAGGACGAGAGGGTTGTCGCCCTGTCCAATCCGGGAGACGAATTGCCCCCCCCCCGGGGGGAGAACGCGGTCGTTCCCCTTCAGCACCCTATTCTCTCCGACGACGACGAGGAGAGGCAGCATGTGACGCTCAGCTGTATGTCAAATCCCGAAATTATTGCGGCTCGATGTACTCTCTCGCTCGGAGACGATTATATCCGGCGCATATAAAGCGCACGAAGCGACGACGATCCGGGGGACACACGGGCGATTGACCCACGTGATGGGTTAACGAACGTGCGACGGGCGGGGAAAAAAATCGGGGATCTCGAAAAACACAGGGGACCGCGGAGAATTATCAATCCGCGGCGAAGTAGAAAGGGGGAGGGGGAGAGGTAGAATTTGGATATCGCGCGAGATGATGTGAAATGTGTTAATCTTGCTATTTTAGTTTTTAGAGTTCTATCTTTCAATTTTATTTTATCTACATATATACATATATAGGGTGAGGCACTTGAAATTATCGTAGTTATCGGAATTTGTTATTATAAAAAAATTTTGTTTTATTCATTTTATATTCCCTTCGAAACCAAGCAATTTGAATTTAATTCAGTTTTCTTTACAAATAATAACATTGACGTAAATTGAGGTGATAATGTCGCGAACCCCACCCTGTATATATACATATATAAAACTTTATACATATATTATATATATTATATAAAATAATGTAAATATAATATACAAATATATGTATACATATATTTGTAAATTAATTTGTATATATATATATATATATGTATAAACGGAAGTTTTGTTAATATATGCCTTAACGTCTTTAAAAAAGTAGTCGACAAGGTCTTTAATATTTACAGTCTCATTTATTACCATCCGTCTAGACGGTAAACAATTCTAAAGTTCGACAACTTTTTCTCTCTGATATTGCAAAGTCAGCTGCTCCACCGCTCTCACCCCAAGTCATGACATTAATATTGCGCGATGAATTTCTCTGGTTTACGGGCCACGCACGAGCATCTCGTCGTGGTATTTGCTGTTAAAAATAGCCTTCGCATGCCATATGGGTCGGTAAAAGTGCATCGGTTCACATGGCATCCATGTCCTCCTTTCGTACGCTTTGCGGTGGTCGTTTCTTTTTTTTTCTTTTTTAAAAAAGACTACAAGAGAAAGAGAGAGACTGCCCTCTTGGGATCGTATATTTGATGCCGACTTCTCTAAACGGTTAAAACTTGCGATACACGGTTGCACGCTGACGCTAAACGAGAATCGTCGTCACATCGTTACATCAGATTACCTAGTTATTACAGCGGTTTGTTGATTCAAGGGAATTACTCAAGCAATACGCGCGTCGGTGTGAAATATCATAAACCTCCTCCACACTCGCGCCTTTTCTCGCGAGGGTGAACACACACGCGCGAAAAATAATCAACTCGTGTTACGGGGAGGGGGAGGAGGAGGAGACCTTAAAAAACGCCAGGCACACACGAAACACGTTCTTCGTACACGGGTTCGACACAAAATTACGCCAGCCAGTTCATTACGCAATACCATCGCACTTTCACGTTGTCATTCATTACGATAGCTTGGATAGCTTCGCGGATGCATATATATGTGTATATATATATATATATATATACATGAGAGAACCGTTACACGACAGCCGATATTAATAACACGCTCGTCGATGTGTGGTGGAAGCCGAGTGGACACGAGTAGCGAAAACCCATTGACCGTGACCCTCCTCCATGTTTCTAATTTAAATGTAAACTATTTGAAGCTACACACATGCACATACCGGGATGTCTATCCCCTGGAAAAACATGGAAAACCTAGAATTATTATAGATTTCGTTTGTAAAATCAGGGAATTCTCGTGGAATTTTATTGACATTCAGGGAATTTTTTTTTGGAAAGATTATCTGATAATTTTGATTATGTGTTTAAAATATATTTCTTTATTTATATATTCACAAAGTCTTAACAAAATATTGAATATATAGTGTATATTCTTTATTGTAATTTTTAGTAATAAAAAAATGAAAATTTTATGCAAGTGAAAAATGCTTATCTCACGAAAATTAATTTAGTTTTTTTTTTTTTTTCAATACATTTACAAACTTAGGACTTGAAATTTAAGAAGCTTTGTGTTTTTCCTTGGTATAAGTGAAAAAGTATGCGATAAAAAAAAATTTATTTTAGAAAGTTGTATCAAAAAATGTTTAAAATATTCTCTTTATTCTGGAATTTTGAATAAAAATACCTGAAAGATTAGGGAACTTTCAGGGAATTTTTGTACAAAATTTGAAGAAAAATTTTACGATGCGTTAAAATAATTATCGCGGAAAGAGTTAATAAAATTACCTATACTATGGTTGACGATTTAAACTTTGCCCTTTTCTTTGTCTGCGATACTTTTGCGTATTTATTGGCAATTGTGATATTCAAGACAATCGTCTCGAATGTCAATCGTGCATTTATTGAATATTTCCAACGGCACAAGAAAAGCAAAATTAACGAAACGGAAGCCGCGGCGACGTGAATTCGTGAATTCCGCGGTCATTATAATGCGTAAATAATCCAACGAAATCGCATTGTCACGCGCGGGTCCGCCTGACGGCAAGGAATGTCGCTCGACCATAGTCGTAGTGTCTGATAAATGATCGCAGCTGCGGAATATTAAGACTCCCCGGCCACGTACAACGATACGAGCGACGCAAACAAATGTTCTCGGCCGCGTAACTGCAGGAAAGAAGACGAGCGTGGAGACAAATCGTACGATCGAGAGGAAGCGGTCGTCGTCCATTCGTTCGTCGTAATGTCTACGACTTCTTAAACACGTGTAAATTAATTCCTTCCCGCATACAAATTTCTTGAAAGCACGATTCGACGAATTCAACCACGAAAATGTCTCAAGATAATTTCTTGTAAAACTTGATAAGGGAGGGAGATGTCGTTTGAACTTTCTAGACAATTAATACTATCGAGATTTTTCGAGATCCAAAGGAGAGAAGAGACAGACTCCTCCAAGAAGAGGAATTAAAATAGGTGGGAGCGAAGGAGAGTCTGATCAAGAACGAAACTTGTCCTATTCATCTTTGTACATAATTGAAAGAACCGAAGAGCGCGTCTTATCAATACACGTTATACGTGGTGGTATCAAAGGTGCGCTTGCGAATTTTCCGAATGAATGATCGCCCTTCACGATAATTTCCTCGCGATTCGTTCTCTCGGATACGCTGTTCTCGAGGAGAGCTATCAAAGAAACACGTTAATTCCAATCATGATGATATTTAAATAAGAAAATTAATGTTCTCAATATTTTGCCGATTGAAATAATTTGCTATTCCCATTTTGCACAAATAAGGATATTTTCAATATTTAGTATTCGTTTGATATGATTATATTCAAAAATCATTTCCAATATATATACCAATAATTTTTATTTTAATTAATTAAATAAAAATCTTTATTTTAATTTATTTTTTTATTTTGAAGACTGATTTTGCAAAATAATATTTTATAGTTAATAATATTTCTGCCAATTCTGTTCAAAATTTCTCTCTGGAA